TTGGGAATATATGGCCTCACGGATGTCTTTGTATACCCAGTCTGAATGGTTTCCGGCAAATCGCTCGAAGCAAAGGTCAGTACTAAGTGTTTGGTTGGTATTTCTTTTTTATCTCTTCTTATCTTAACACACTGTACGTTTGTCACGTTCTGGCTCTTCCATCCTTTCAGAAGTTCAGCTTCGGTCAGGTCAAGCGAATCTGCGTCCGATACGACCCCGCGAGATGAGTTCATGGACCTGTGCGGCGTAATACTGATGGGTGTGTCTCCAAACGTTGTGAGGGTGTTCAGTTTATCGAATTGGTCTTTGTCACGTATCTCAAGGAGTAGATCTCCTTTTTGTACCCTTGTACACGGCATCCAACCTTGTACCCGGCACCGAGAGTTTCAGTTGAGCATCTAGCCACTACGAAGGGGGATACAATTCTGGCTTGCTTGTTAGTTTTTTGGCAGTGTATAACAGGGAAATGAGGAAAGATTTGTCTTGGCCAGATGAAAAAAATCGATATCTTCGGTGCGCACCCGCTTTGAGGAGGCATGATCACTAATTAAAGGGAATGCTTTGTGCATGCTAATTGTATGTTGTTCAGCAGCGTTGGCGGCCACCCACCACAGAGCCCAACGAGGGGACACTGCAAGTTTGCGGATGCTGAAAGCTTGCAGACGTCAGCCGTGCAACCCTGCTATAACCCAATGCGCCTAGGCCAAGGTAGGCTATTTGCACAGGGTTGGTTAACCCTTGCCGCTGAGAAAATTGGAAGTAAGCAGAAGAGAGAAGTAGACAGGAAAGCTAAAAAAGTAAGAAAGACGAAGATGTAGGGAGAGAGAGAGATAGGAAAAGGCGGCGGCCGATTTCCCCTGGGTGGGTCAGCCCAGGGGTGCCGTCTACATGAAGCTGGGGCCAAAGGGGTGTGTTGCCTCTGCCGGGGGGCCTTAACGGTCCAATCACCCAGCGTCGGCTCAACCCCCAGGATCCCCTTTTCCCCGGACACAGCAAAGCCACGCACGGCTAGGCGTGGAAGGGAGTCGAAGCTCCCCCGTTAGCTTGGGTCCGTGGTGTCGCTACACACCAAACGCCTACTTGCGCAGGCGCCCCTGCGGGCTTGACTGGCAAGAACTCCAGAGTGATGGCTTGAAGTCCTTGAACCTGACCGTGGGCTGGGCAATTATCCACGATGAAGACAACCTTCCTGCCATGCCTCATAAATCTTGCGTCTTCCTCCCGAAGCCAGTTTTCGAAAATGCCCATGGTCGTCCACGCTTTTTCGTTGCCATGGTACACAACGGGAAGGTGTCGAACGCATCTTAAACAACTTGGGTGCCTTTATTTTCCTATTACCAACAGCTTCAATTGCTCATCTTCTGCCATGTTTGCACCCACCAGCACAGTGATACAATCTTTACTGCATTTTCCTACTGGCTTCGCCTTTGAAGGTGAGAGTTTTTTATAGAAGCGCCTCATAAAAAAGGGCCATCTCGTCGAAGGTGAAGACGTCTCATGGCTCAAACCTCCTCAAAATTTTCTTAATCCACCCCTGTTGTCAGTCGGTGCAAATGTCCCTGTTGACTGCACCACTCTCACCTGAGATTGCTTTGAAGACTAGGCCATGGCGTGTTTTGAAGCGGCTGAGCCATCCGTCGTTTAGGACAATGTTCTTAACACCTGTTTGCATGGCGATCTCTCGAGCTTTCTGTTTGAGAATTTCTCCACTTATGGGCAAATTGGAACACCGTGCACCCTTGAACCACAGAAAAAGAACTTTTTCTATTTGTTCATAAGGCGCCATCCGTATCCATTTAGAAAGGCCTTGTTCTTAACAGTGCCTTCAATCATTTCTCCGTCTTTCCAGATCCGTGACAGCGTCGATTTCGGGATATATTTTTCCTCCACCTCCATCTTGGGCAAGCTACTTCGATCGAGCTCCTGAAGAATTTGCAGCTTTTTTTCAAGCAAGAGTGCATGGTGCGAACACTTTCTTTCCGTTGGGCTAAAAGTAACACCATGATCCACCGCACTTAGCCGCACAAATAGATCGAACACACAACTGGCTTGCCGACTCTGCTCCCACAGCCATAAGCGAGAATGACTACTGGATTAGCTTGTCTCGATCTCGAGGTGTTTTCATGGTTGTGAGACTACCTTTGGCATGAACGAGTCTGTGCTGTGTTTAGAGTTTGTGCCGTTTAACCGTAGGTGACCAATAAGCACTGTTTCAATTAACCGATGAATTTTACTGCGCAACACATTGAAATCCAGCCATATGGGCCCGTTTAGTTCCGTTAATGAGGCATTTTCGTTTAGGCGAGTTTCGCTTATTGGGAGTCCACTGTACTTCGTTTACCGTATAGTCGCAGGGCCCCTTTAAAACCAACAGGATGGGTACCAAGGAATGAAAAACGCAGCCGAAACAGCAGAGAGTGATGTAGAGTAAGAAACTGCAAGTTTGAGATCATTGAGACTGTCCTTCGTCCTGCAACAGACCTACAACAGGTTGGTACTGATAACGATGATAATATACTACATAAAGAAAGGTTTCTTGTGTTGGACAGTTATCGTCACTAATGTTTAGGGTAATATATTTTGGCTCTAATGTGTACAAAAAAAAAAAGATTACTGAAGTGCGAACAATGATGAAGTTCACCCAAGTATTGAAAAGATGTCAATCAAAAGAGGCTGGTCGATACACTCCAACTCACTTATACACCAGAACACAGCGAGCTCAGTGCTTGCTGCCATATTTAAAAGTGCGTGGCGCCATCTGTTGCAAGCACAGCGAAGCAACCCCCTCAACTGCCAAGCAAGCAGACGCTCTGCAAATCAAACGCTAAACTTCACCTCCCGAGTCCGATCGTAAGCATGTTTCGCGCTGTTCCTTTTCTGGAATTTTGTGCTGATTTCATGTGAAACGCCAAGGAGACCTTCCTCGACAGTCCGGAATGTCTGCAGCACATGCATCGCTGACTGCGGAAGCAACTCGTTCAGTTGCGTATTATCCTACTTCTGAAAGAAACGCGACCAGCACTGCAGCCTGCCTTAGCTATGACAAGGCAGAATTTGCGCTGTAAGCCGTCGTAAATGTAGCGCTACAATCTGGCGCCTACTTACGGTCATGCACCGCATGTGTACAATTGCCGGCCCTGCCGGGCAGTCTAAACACACACACGATGCAAAAGTGCCAGCCAGAACAAAATTTTAAAATGCTACGGTGACGCCGGCTGAAACCACTTATAGATTAAGTATGCTTACTCGTACACCTTACTAGGCTGGTGGTTTTGGGACGTTAAATCCCACATATCAATCAATTAAATCAACACCTTACTGGGCTCGTAGTCTTTCCTGTAGATTGCGATTATATCCTACGGCGGCGGAGCAGAGCGTTTGTCGTTGTGGACGGAAATCTGTGCAATCGCTAAGCACCACACTGGCACGATTCTTGCGATGCGCTGTGAACATCACAGGCAGTGCTCAGCAATCTATTCCTCTTGCACTGGTTGTTCTCGCATCAGATGACAACGCAGTGGTGCCCAGATGATATTTTATAAGCGGGCGCAGTGCGAACAGGTGCGTTTTCGCTTTTTCAACTCCCAGAGCCACAACTTGCCTTGCTAGCGAGGCACGCCTTGGCAGTTGCAAACAAATTACGGCGTCTTCGAGAACGAGGATATACTCCCGAAAGCGCCTGGGTGCGAGATAGGCGTGCTCTCGTCTATAGCGATCCCAGATATAACTATTAGTTGGTTATAACGACTATATTTCGGTGTACTTACGATCTTATGTTACCCTGTGAAACTGAGTACACATACAGCAAACATTTTTTAAAGCCTCCTTCCTACTCATACAATGAACCTTATCGTTAGATTGCGGCAAAACTATGGCGCATACAAAGCAAAAAAAATATGTTAAAACAAGCATTCTAAAGCATATGATAGGCGTGTGCTCGCGTGTGCCTCACTGCAGTTTAGTTGTGATGAAGAAAACATAAACCGCGCCGAGCACCACACGCTGATTTCGGATGTTGTGAGCGTCACTCTTTCCGGGTTTTTCTTCACCGGCAGAATGTAAGTGAGAGAAAAAAAAAAGACGAAAAAAAGACAGCATGAAGACTTGCGGTCAGCTTTCCAAGGCAAACTTTTCTGACGCTGTTCTCGGCATCTCGACGGCGGACGATGCCTTCGAACAGAAGCGCTAACTTTTGTACCATAAAAGTTAAGTGTGGCGACGCTAAACTTTCTGACACTGCAATGTGCCGCAAAAGGTTTTTCACCTTTCAGTAATGGCTGAGACCGGTCAATCAGCGATAACATTAGTGACAATGATTTCAGCGAGGTTGCGGTGGTGTCTTAACGAATAAGCATCAGAAAAGAGCGACGGCGGGTGGCCGGTAGCGATCATTTTGACTCATCACCGGCAAGCTTACCACAGTACTCTGCAGAGAGCTGCTCGGCAGAGCACTCTGAAGAGAGCAGCTCGGCAAGTTCAGTGCCGCCTCATCGTGCGAAGCCACTTGCATGCATTGCTCGCAAAATTCTTTGTTGTGTTAAACGAACAGGCTACTCCCTGCACCCGAGCACGATCCCGAGTGAAGCATGCGCGAAGAAAGCACAAACGGGTGCATACATAGGAATGCAAAAGAACTGGCATGCGACGGCGAGAGCCGAGTAAGCGACGTGCTACACGAAACTGGCCAGGGATAATTAGTTTGATGTGGCGGTAGCATGCTTCAGTGGAACGGTGTGAGTTCACTGCGAGCGTGCTTGAATTCACTCATCAGCAAACGGGCGTTGTTTAACACCCGAAAAGGTTTAGCTTGCCAAAAGAGGTGCTGTTTGCTCTTTAGAAGAAAAATACACAAAAAAAAACGGTTTACCAACTTATTGGACATAGAAGAACGGGTCCATATACAATGAACTACTGATACAACGACCATTTATCGCGGCCCTTTCGAGTTCATATATTATAAACCGGTTTAACCATATACTAATGAAAGAAAAAAAACTCACGAGCTTGCTTCGATGAATGCTGGTTGTTTGCTCTGTACAACACTTGGAAGGCACTGAACAGGGGGAGCCTGGCTGGCTTGGGCCACATCCTCATCCAATACAGCTCGGTCCGTCGAAATGTCAGTCAAGCGCACTTCCACTGCCACCGGCGACTTGTCTCGGTTCCCTGGCGTCGAGCCATTCTGTCTCGCTTTCAGAACCTTGTAGATGTCCCAGGCAGCCGTGTTCCGCCAGTAGTCGCTGCGCACATGAGGTGTGACGAGAGTTGCCTCTTTAGGTGGCGTTCTTTTGTCTTCTCCCAGCGAAAGGTCAGACAGTTCGCCACCTTTGAGAAAATCCCTCACCACCACCACTGGGCGCTTTGAACTTGAGCTTACAAGTGTGACTGCAGAAGGCTCTGATATAGGGGAGGTTGCCTGCAAATGTTTCGATATCCGGAACTGTCTCAATGGCTTTCCCTGAGAGGACATGCTGCTTGGTGCCACAATCTCTTCCAATATCTCTACTGAGTCATTTGCTGCGCCGTCCTTGATAACAACACTGTCCTTGCTTGGTGATGAAGGCCCTGTCTTCATAACTTTGTCGTCATCAGATGGGGAAGATTGAGGTGAACAAACCTGCTTTCGGGGAGGAGAAGCCGACTTTAGATTGCTAGGCTGTGTGTCTGTAACTTTTCTTGGGCGAGACTTGTTATTGGAGGCTGCCACCAGACTTCCACTGAGCTTTTTTGGGGAAGTTGCTTGCACATTGTCCACTTTGGCAGCGTGTCTCAATTGTTCCCCAAGCAGCTCGGTCGCCGCTTTCTGCAGCCCGTGGCGTTTCAGAAAATGTTTGTTGGCCAACCCTGGGTAATAAAACGGTGTCAGTGAGCAAACGCGAAATTGAACAAACAAAAAAGGAAGGCTACGCAAAAAGACAGCAGCAGCAAGCAATACGTTTGCAAAACAAAACACATGTAATACCAAAATAATTTACCCAACACTGCTCATTACGAATTTCTATACAGCAGAACCTTCATTAAATAAAATGACAGCCGTGTTCTAATTATTTCTTTAGATCAGGAAATACCGTATTTACTCGCGCAATAAAACCACATTTTTTTTTCAGAAAAGTTGACGCCAATTTGGGGGGAGGGTTCATTACACGGGAGAAAAAAGTCGCGGGAGTTATAACACTGAAAATTTCGTATGATTGTATTGGCCCGCGAAACCTGCGAATCTTTTTTGTAGCCCAAAGCTCTTCCTGTTTTCTCCCGTAAGGAACATGCACGGATCAGCACCAAAGTGTCCTCCAGCTCATCATCATCATCATCAGCCTGACTACGTCCACTGCAGGACAAAGGTCTCTCCCATGTTCCGCCAGTTAACCCGGTCCTGTGCTTGCTGCTGCCAATTTATACCCGCATACTTCTTAATTTTATCTGTCCACCTAATCTTCGGTCTCCCCCTAACCCGCTTGCCTTCTCTGGGAATCCAGTTAGTTGCCCTTAATGACCAGCAATTGTCCTGTCTACCCGCTACATGCCCGGCCCATGTCCATTTCCTCTTCTTGATTTCAACTATGATATCCTTAACCCCCATTTGTTCCCTACTCCACTCTGCTCTCTTCTTGTCTCTTAAGGTTGCACCTATCATTTTTTTTTTTTCCATTGCTCGCTGCGTCGTCATCAATTTAAGCAGAGCTCTCTTTGTAAGTCTCCAGGTTTCTGCTCCGTAGCTAAGTATCGGCAAGATACAGCTGTTATATATCTTGTTCTTGAGGAATAGTGGCAATTTACCTGTCATAATTTGAGAGTGCTTGCCAAATGTGCTCCACCCCATTCTTATTCTTCTAGTTACTTCAGTCTCATGGTTCGGCTCCGCGGTTATTACCTGTCCTAAGGAGACATAGTCTTGTACAACTTGAAGTGGACTATTGCCTATCTCGAAGCACTGCTCTCTTCCGAGGTTGTTGTACATTACTTTCATTTTCTGCAGATTAATTTTAAGACCCACCTTTCTGCTTTTTTTGTCTAGCTCCGTAATCATGAGTTGCAATTCGTCCCCTGAGTTACTCAGCAATGCAACGTCATCGGCAAAGCGTAGGCTACTAAAGTACTTTTCATTAACTCTTATCCCTAACTGTTCCAATTCTAGGCTTCTGAAAACCTCCTGTAAGCACGCGGTAAATAGCATTGGGGAAATTGTGTCCCCCTGCTCATAGAGTTTCCTAAATATACATATTGTCCAGCCACTCAGTTTCTATGCTCCAGTGCATACAGCCATGTAGCTATAGTGTAGCGGCTGAACGCGCCCTGCGCAGTAGGTATCCAACACTCAGTTCCTATGCTCCAGCGCATGCAGCCGTGTAGCTATAGCGTACAAGCTGAACGCGTCCTGCGCAGCAGGTATCCAAATAAATTCACTTCGACAAACCCGACAAGAAAAATGCAGCAACAGATGGTGATGCCCTAACGTTGCGGGTGCACAACGTGCCGTCACGGTTGCGCTTTGCATGGCCTCCTAAATGGCGAGCGCGCAGGGTGCGCCCATCGTCTCGGAGGCCATGTGCTTTGTTTCTTGCTTTGTTTTCGTGCCGCTGTGCTTGCATGGCACTATAAGCAAAAAGGTTTCTCCTGCATTTGACAAATGGCGCTCTACCGCGAAAGTCACGACTTTTAAATTTTGATTGACAAGGTTCGCGCTGCTCACAAGTGTTTAGCATGGTTGCCTAGCTATTTTTAAAATTTTATTGCATTGTTATTTTGTAAATTAACATTTCATTTGTTTCGATCGTCAACGGCGCTGGCCATCACACAAAAATACAGTCCTACCCCGTTACACAAAAGTGACGGGGCACGGAAAAAGTTTGTTGTAGTGAAATCGAAAAAATAGAGCTGCTCTGAGCTAGCAAAACAAAGGAATATTTATTCTAAAATTTAAAGTGTCCGCTGCTTCCTATTCTTTTCCAGCAGTGTCACGACGCGATTCTCACTCATGCGTAGCAAGGCCATGGTGAAAAGCACGCTGAAACAACACTTTCAACTGCTTTCGTTAACGAACCACAGTTGCATTAACACGTTAACACCAGCAGCTGTCAGCCGTCTTATCCAACAACGCTGAGATGGAGGCAGAGTATCGTGGAGTGGTGGCTTTTGCCATATTCTATGCCATTCTTATCATCTACCACTCGCTGCTAGCCGATCGGAAAAGGCATCGTTCTGCGGTTGCACCCACCAGCTGCGTGCACTCTGGCTGGGTGAAAGAAACCATTCTTCACGACTGAGTGACTGAGTTTCAGCCTCTTATCGTCTACGGCTCCAAGCCAAGCCAGTGGCAAAAGCAGGGCAGCCTCATCACCATCACTATCGAGCAATAGCGGCGCCAACGCTTGCTGAACAGCGGCAGTTTCTGGTGGTGCCAACGCGTGTTTTAGACTTCGTCAATGCATTTTCAGGTTCTGAAAATGCATCAAAATGTTAAAGATTGTGTTTATTGCATCGCAATAAATATCTGAGCCTGAAATTGCATCGTGAAATTTTGTTCAAGCAGGACAGCAGAAGAAAAAGTGTTCATTGTGGCAAAGATATTATTGCGTTAACTCCTATGAACTGCTGACGGGAAATCGTGAATTTTTTCATTATAATAGAAATTTCAGTTGAAATTGCATTCGTTGTAGTGGGTTTCGACTGTAATATGAACAGATACATAAAAAAAAAATCTTTATTTTATTTTTTCAAGGAGCGGGATAAGAGGTGGATTCATTATGCAAATGGGTTCATTATGCAAGTAAATACAGTACGTCAAATAGGGAAGGAGGCCTTTCACTCCTATGAAATATAAAATAATAATGTAGCTGTGCCTTCTCTTGTCCGTGTCCTTTGTCTGCGCTACCATATATTATTATGACTGTGTCATTGCATTTGACCTTAACACATGCCGGTGCATCTGAAAAGTCCGTGATGTTAGGCAGTACGCAGAGCCTTCACGTCATTTAGTAGTACTTATAATCCATGGAATTTATGCTCATGGGAAGTTCCCTCTGTTTGGCTGTAAAGCCATTGCCACAAGTGTTCTATATTTGTTTCAAAGACCTCAACGAGGCTAAAGATTGAGTTAGCAAAAAATCAAACATTGTAACAAAACAGCAATTTGAGCTAGTTGGTAGCAGTTCATTGTGAAAGATAGAAGTGTGGGGCATTATAACAGGGACTTGAGAAGAGAATAACACTGTTCTTCTCTTCTTCAGTCCATGTTACGTAGCATGCCCCACTTCTATCTTTCACAAGACATTGCAGTGCTGCTTCTTTTTAACAGGCATTAGAGATTTCTGTCTGTCGGACGTCAGGAAAGGAACAGATATACACTACTGGTCACACGCAAAAATTAAGCGGTTTCTACTTTCAGGCTACTTGCCAACACTAGACAATACTAGAATTCACAATACTGATTGATTGATATGTCGGGTTTAACGTCCCAAAACCACTATATGATTATGAGAGACGCCGTAGTGGAGGGCTCCGGAAATTTAGACCACCTGGGGTTCTTTAACGTGCACCCAAATCTGAGCACACGGGCCTACAACATTTCCGCCTCCATCGGAAATGCAGCCGCCGCAGCCGGGATTTGAACCCGCGCCCTGCGGGTCAGCAGCCGAGTACCTTAGCCACTAGACCACCACGGCGGGGAATTCACAATACTTGACAAGAATTAAGAAGATGCCGAAATAACAAGAGTGCAAAGTGTTGCTCTCATTCTTTCAATGTTTTCTAAGTCATTGTCTAATGTGCCGCATTGAATGATGATTCCAAGCATAAGCCCCTGCCCCAAAGCTAATAACAAAGAAGTCAAGGAGTTTTTAAATTAGCTACATCATTGTCATTTTAGTTGTGGTAGGGTACTAATGCCCTGGAGTAGACTGTGTTCATAAACTACTACAAGAATACAGAGGTGAAAGTGGACTTATGTGTTTTGGAGCAGCTTCGGCACAGTAAAAGAATACTTTTAGAGCCGGTTCAGAGCAGCAAAAGATGTTTCGGAGCAGTGCAAGTTAGTTTCAAAGTAGCTTTCCAAGGTCAAATATCAGTGTCAATCCAAATTATTGCTGGTAAAAATAATTCCAATGGTTTTGACTTCAGTATTAATAAGCTTACCAATCTTACCACCCACAAATGTGTGCGTGTTCCAGTCATTAAACATCACAGCTAAAAGAGAAATAACTTGGAGATAACAAGGATAAGCGATGCTTATCTGTTGTTTTCATAACCGCCAGATAATCACGGAGCACTTTTCTTAGCGGAAGGATGTTATCCCAACATTAATTAAACACACTATGCTCATCTGTGCTCGGTCTGTAGCAAAGTGGGGACAAGCAATTCACGTGTCAAATCCGCGTGCATGGGCGGATTTGACGTGCTGAAGCGCCGCGCTGCACACAACTAACCAGGAAATGATCATGTCCACAGGAGCAGTTCGTATTGCAATGAAACTGTCAGTTCTTGCTAATTATCAGATCGCAGTAGAAAAATTTATTGCAGAAAGCCGACAGTGCCCATGCTGTCGCTATCTCAGTTGCTGCGTATCCCGGACCCTGTCAAAGTTTCGAAATGCTCCTTGGCGTAGCCACTGCACGCTGTGCAATGATCGTGCGAGAGGGTCAGTCGAGTATTTTTTCCACACTTGGCAAAAAGAAAGAAAAGACTTTCTGGTGGGTACTTTGTTACTGTATTGTTACTTATTGGTGGTGCTGGCACGTGTCACAATAACCACCTTTGTATTTGTTAAGGTGCACTGCTGTTTAATTGCATGATCATGCCACGTTCCCGCCTGGTACAAATTATCAAGATTTTATTGTATTACTGTATTATGTCAATGTTTTACTGTAATATGTCATGTGCTACGTGACGCCAATAGGGAAAAAATGAGTGTTCCACACTCACCGCGATGGCAATAGGCAGCACTGACTAACGCTCCCCATTTAATGCTCATACATACCCAATAAACTGGATGGGAGCATAGCCACTGCGGTAGCTCAGTTGGTAGAGCATAGAACGCATTATTCGAAGGTAGCAGGTTTGCTTCCTGCCCACCGCAAGTTATCTTTTCATCCCCTTTTCCTTATTCACATTTACATTATAATTATGCCTATACTTTCTTTGGCATAATTGTCTGTTAGTTCTCATTAAGATAACTGACAGTTACTCAGGTTGGTGCCACCACTTTTGCAGAAAAACTACGGCGATGACAGCTGTAAGACGAGCACTACCAAGCCCCATGTATGAAGTGAATCGAACGAATGAAAGCATCGAACTATCACTAGATGAGGAAGCGTTTGTGTCCTTTGTTTAGCCGTTGTTGCTCGGTCAATTATAATAATTGGCTAGATTTGGCAGTTTACACTTCGAACTGACAATTATTGCGGAAATCGCCATTCATGCACAGTGTGACACAGCAGTTCAAATTGGTGCAGAATGGCACAATTGGCGCAGCACTTCCGCCTCTGGAATATGACTGAAGTTTTTATGAAGAAAACTTCATTGCCAAAACATAGAACCACCCAGTATGTTAGAAATGTACTTCATATGGAGCCCAACACGTTTCAATGAAAGATGTTACATTAAATTAGCCACAAAAATCATCGGAAATTAGGCCAAGAAATCCGAAAAAGAAACAAATAATAAAAGAAAGACAGATGAAGAACCAGTCAGTAGAGGTAGTAAAAAGTGCATCCACTCAGAAATCTGGTCAACTACTTGTCAAGAAATGCAGTATTAAAGACAGCCGAGCTAGTTGGTACGAACGCTTTGTAGAATAGCGCAAATAATGCACAGAGACACACTGTTGTCTCACTCACCCGTGTCTCTCTGTGTTATATGCTCTACTCTGCAATGCAAATATTGTCAAGAATGCCACCTAATATTGTCTGGAGGGAAGTACAGGCTATATCTGCACGAGCACTTTGTCTCTTATCTAGTCAATTCACGACCCAGCTTTGCAGACAAAAAAAGAACCTGTGCGTACTTGTTTCACCAGCTGGCAGGGCATGGTCTTGCCAGAATGAAGGTTGCAACTGCGTATTCTCTGATGAGCGTAGCTGCTTGGAGCCGCTACACTGCTCCTCACAGCAGCAAAGACGCTTGCGTGCCACTCTACGTCCAGTCGTGTTGTCTACACTTGCATGGTGTTGTCCAAGCTCACATGGTACGCTGGCAGTCTGCAATCATAAGCACATTTCCTGTTCACAAAGGTATCACTAATTGAGCTCACTAGTTTCAACTTGCTACAAAGCTTTCAGCTCATCATCTAACCAAGTGCAATTCTCAACTGTTTTTGTTCTTTGGTCCACCACTCAGTTACCTGCAGTTGGTTCTTCTTCTATGGTTTAAACGTCAAGCCTAAAACTTCATATTTTCCTGCTTCTTTTTGATTATTCTCTATGCATTGGCTACATAGGTTAGTATTGGGAAGTCAGTCATACATTTAGGGAACATTCTATATTCCAAATCAGCACTGACGAAGTTAAACCCAAGATCGCTCAAAGCACTCGCATCACACGCTTAGTTGGTCACGCTCCTATCTAGTGATGGTGATAGGGGTAGTGATACTACAGTTTTTCCCCCTCTAAATGTACTGTGGCAATGAGCGGCCTCGCAGACAGGCGAAGACTTGGCATTAGCAGAGAAAGAGAGCCCGACACAATCTCTGTGATCAGAAGTATTTCGATGACTGACTCCCGCACGCAGGCCTGTGCCAGTGGAACCTGCCTCGTGCAAGAATGTGCATCACAGTCTTCTTTTATGCGATGCCAATAATGCTGCCGCTACTGAAAGCTCCCTCCTAGAGAGAACGAAAATCTGATGAAGCATCGATACCCAAGACATGGTCTGTCATGGTTGTCGCTTAAGAAGACAGTGATACCGGCTGCAGCAGCGTTAGACCACATGATGGTGAGGACGATAACAGTGTTGCTTCGAAGTAGACAGGCTTGAGATGTTCAAGAGCAATTGTGTCAGGCCAGCCGTTGATGTTGACAACTAATGTCTATGAGCGACGCTTTAGAACTCGATAAGATGCGGAGAAGTACGGTTGTAAAGGCTTCCACACAGCAAAGTTGTGCACAAAACATGTGTAGCAGAGGTGAGCTGTGGCGACACGGAAGGAGCTCTAGATTCATGGGGGCATGTAGGCAAGGAATGTATCTGCTGGAAGATGTTTTGCAGTTTGGAAACAGTTTCCAGCTAGCGGCAAAGTCTTCTTGGCAGAGGCATCAAAGAAGTTGTGTGGCAGGCACAGCAACCTGCCATAGACCAGCTCTGTGCATGAAGATCCCAGGTCACTTTTGATGGCAATTCTAATGCCAAGAGATGCGAATGGCAGTTGGATGATGCATTTCTTTGGTGATCCATGGGCCATGAGGGAGGAATTTAGGATGCCCATGGAAATGTTTGATGAATCCATTTGTTCATGGGTGGAGAGAGGTCGTGCGAAGGTGTGTCGTTCTGGGTAGTTTGAGGAATTTGTTCAAGAGCACTAAATCCAACTACCGACCACAATGAGTGACTAGAGTAGATAGGCAGCTGAAACTTGAAATCCATGTCCACACGAAAGCACCTGCAATTGAGGGCGCTGATACATGTGTCAGCGATAGGTGTATCTTCTGGCCACCTTGTGTAGCGGCTGATGCATATAAGTATGCAGCTGTAGCCCTTGGAAGGTGAGAGAGGGCAGACGAGGTCCAAGTGCACAGTGTCAAAATGCGTGTCTGTTGAAAGGAAGAACTTTGCTGGAGGGACGAGATGGGGCTTGATCTTCGAGCGTTAACACGACAAATAGCAGCATACCCAGTTGCGAACTTGCGCATTTAGTTGAGGACCAAACGTAGCAACTCGAAATTAGCTTCCAAGTCGCGTGAATTCCGGGATGCGACAGACTATGCCCAGCATTGAACAGGCATCTTCAAAGCCGTACCGGGATAAAAGGCAAGGGAGTGCCGGTAGAAGTATCACACACTACAGATGTACCATCTGAAATCAAAGCCCCATCCCCCAGTTTCAGGGATGCTGACAAATTTCCCAGGGCATATAGTTCAGTGCTGACATGCAGGTGAGTGGCGAGTAGGCCAAGATCAATGACGAAAGGCTCTGCAGTTAGTGTGGAGACTGCATTGACATGGCTCACAACATTGGCAGGAATGTTGTCAGTGCTTTTGACATAACGAAACAATGTAAACTCAGAGATGTAGGAGAGATGTCGTTTCTTGCAAGGCGAGTACCAGGACACCGATTGGTTCACCCAAGCACAAGGGGGCTTACGCTCGGTCAAGACACTAAACTGATGACTTATTAGGAAGTGCCGGACAGCCTAGTACATGGCTAGTTGTTTGTGGCTGAAAATGCTATAATGGCTCTGTGCAGCCTTCAACATTTATAAAAATAAAGCGAGTGGATGCGATGTATCATTGATGAATTGTTGTAAAACGAGGCCAACAGCATTGTTCGAGGCGGCTGTCATGATAGCAGCCAGCGTATTTGGTTTCGAATGTTTCACCAGTGTTGCACTGGCGAGGGCAGATTTGACTCTTGTGAATGCTTGGGCATGCTCTAGAGTCCACTGAAGTGATTACTTTCGTTTGGAGCTTAGCAGAACGTCTAGAAGGGCCACAAGTGGCGCACAACTGGGTATAAATCATCAATAGTATTGACAAACCTGAGAAATTGGTGAAGATTGGTCATCGTAATAGGTTGCGGAAAATCTCCAATGATGCGAATTTCGAGCAGCAGTGGTGGAATGCCGTTCGTTCCAACTACGTGTCCAAGGAACTCAAGTTTCTGTCGACTAAATTCCCTTTTGGTGACGATGATGATTCCTTGGCTGGCAAGGCAGGAGAATATCAAACACACATGTTGAACATGTTCTTCAATAGAAGGATTTGTGAAAAGGAGGTTCTCGATGAAATACTGGATTATATGCTGGCCAGAATTTTATAGGCTGAGGGGCATGCAAAGAAATTCGAAGAGACTGAAAGGTGTGGGATGGTGGTCTTCAGGATGCCTTCCTTGGCGAGTGGCAGTCAATGATAAACGTGAACAAGATCGTCCTTAGAGAAAACTGCCGTGCCGTGCAGCACTACCGTGAAGCCCTGGATATTCGAAAGGGGGCAGGGATCAAAATCCGTGATGTTGTTGAGCCCCTGGTAATCGTCACATGGATATCAATCTTCAGACTCTTTACCTAAATAAAGCATGCAATAAAGTTGGCTATTTGTTGGAAAGCGGTCGAATGATACCAATTGCTCGAACTCCGCGCAAGCAACCTTCAGTTTCTCGGGGAGACAAATGCTGAGGTCGAAAGTAGACTAGAGGGTTTATCGATGTGGTGACAAATGTCATGTTGGACCGGTTACATTCAGTGCAGCTGGCGTGTCAGGGTGGAAAACTCACGGAGGAGCTCAGCGAAAGGTATTCCAGCATAGATGATATGGCCAAGATCAGCGATGTGGTTGTTGCAGGCGCACCTGTAATGGTCAGGTGGGTAACAAAATTAATAAGACGATGCTTCTTCACGTCAACAAGGAGCCCATAGTGGTGCAAGAAATCAGCTGTGATGAGGGTGCTTCAGACATCTGCCACCAAGAAAATCTACCGAAACACTCGTCGCAGGTCAAGATTGAGCATGAAGAATCAGTGCTGTTCAAACTGGAATCTTCATACAGTTGAGGACTTGCAAAAACGACAAAGATATCATTTTTCAGAAGGAGCATCGAGCAGGAATATTGCTTATGTCTGCTCCTGGGTCAACTAGAAAACGTCCTGTGGCTCTGTCCATGAAGTAGAAGAGGCAAATGATGTGCTTAGCTGAACCACTTGTTGCGATCAGGTCGGCCAGCTTTTTTTCCCATTCACAGATACAGATGCCAGCAGTGATGAGCGCTGTTACCAAAATGACAATGATAGTAGTGGACCCCAGGTGTTGGCAACAGATTACAGCTGAGGGAATGTGCATCTCCGCTTGCTGAAACTTTGGTGGCATAAAAGATGAGGTGATGCATGGCAATACCCGGCAGCAGAGACAATGCACTCGAGATGCTCACACACGGTGTCAAGTGGCATTTGTGCTGATAAAAAAGACTGCAGCGTTCACAGCGTGGTTGTACTGTGATCAGGTCCATAGTAGAAGCTGTCGTCAGTGACACCTAGATGTTGGTCGGTTAAAACAACTTGCATAACAGTGCCTCATCGATGAATCTTGCATTGTTTCCGAGCAGCTGCTACACATTGCAAAGAAGTTAACTGGGGCCTTGGTTGCAGAGTTCTTCCGCACACAGAAGTTGCTGTATGCGAGCACGCTATGAAACTGCTGTGGGCTGTAGCAGGATTTCCTTGAGATCATCATAGGCATTCACACACAGCGGGTTGCTTAATATATTTGTTACTTTGTCAGTAGCGGTGGGCAAGAATGCCACAATAGTATAGTGAAACTTCCTAGCTTCGGAATAAATACCAGCAACTTGAAATTGTGATTCTGCTATAAAAAACCACGCCAATGAATGCTGGTCCCAGTCCTGAAGAAGATGAACAGCAATGGCTGAGCAGGAGGGCTCATTGTGTTGTTCAGGAAGGTTCTGATTTAGAGAACTTGTACTGTCGGTCTGTTCGGTGTTTACTTCTGCCATGAAAACGTATAGCCACAGCCACGTCCAAGTCACAAAACTTTCTGAGGGACAAGAAAAAGCATATCATGGTATCATCGTCACATGGAGTATCAAAGAAGCGACACTAACAAACTCATGTTCCATCTGCTACATTACACATGCACATCTCTGCTTCGCTGCCCCAGCCCTACTAAAACACTCCGCTGCTGTGCCACCCTACAAAAAGACCACTATGTTCCAATAAATCTGACTTTGAACGTCTGCTTGGACACGCTAGTGGTTACAAGAATGAAACTAAAGGAGTCTGCAAATGGTTTGATCGTGTATGAAAAAAAAATGAGCGGAAATGTTTGCTTTTCACTGTGGAGAGGTCTATACCCAGAACCTCCCATAGGTGAAACAGCAAAGGTATGGAAATAAGTGGCTCTGCTGGGTGCACACTGCCTGCATCTGACGACCATGGACTAACAGTTTTTCTTTTTTCCTATTATGTTTGATCAGGTTTGAATCATTGTGAATCATAAAAACTGCTATCAGTGCTTGTTGACTATTTTTGGATACGAGGAAATCGCATTTCAAGTCCTATTTTGCTAAACCAAGTAATTTGATGGTTCGTTTATGGCACACACGACAGTTTCAGTGCACGCACAAGAAAGCTTATGGCACACAAACTCGTTAAACCTACACATTGTCCTTGCCACCGCCAAAGCTTCTTTCTCTGTCTTATTGTACCTCTGTTCCGTGGCAGTCCTGGAGGGATAAGCAAGCACCACTGCTCAACATTCTCCTGAAGGTTACATTTGAGGTAGGACAGTTGATCCAAAAGAACGGCCATTCATCGAAATTGCAGTGGCGTAGGAGAGATAATATTCTATCACCATGCAACACTGAATGTGTAATGTGGCTAGCTTTCTTATACTAAGAGAAGGTGCACATAGTATGTGAAGTGCAATCTTTTTGCACTTGGCCTTTATATTGCCACATGCACTTATTCCATTATGTTTGATCAGGTTTGAACCATAAAAACTGCTATCACCACTTGTTGAAGACCATGCCACATTGTTTGAAACTTCACGATTGATACAGACTGTTCTGTTAACATTACGCGCGGGACACAAGCAGATGAGCTCATTATAAAAATAATAAAACATCAGCACTGACCCTGTACAATTTAATAAGGCACCTATCAAAGCCAACACACTTCACGGATGAACAGATTACCAGCAACTGGGATTGCAACTATCAGCGTGCTCGTCCTTTGACGTGGCACTGATTACTGGAAAAAAAAAAATGAGGAAAGATTGATTATTATGGAGAGTCCTATTTTGTAGGCTAAAACACTGCAGCAGTTGCAGGTCACGCAGTTGTATAAATTGAAGTGGTGCAACAACGCATTTAGAACAGCTATTTAGTATGCGATGTGTTAGGGCACAGCTCTTAATGTTGTTCTTGCATTAAGCCGCCTTGCAGCTTGTGTCGGCAGCGTAACCAATAGAGCAAACAAGAATAAAAGGGGCAAATGAAAACTAAAGAGGGTAGACACCAAGTCTGTCAAAATCACGAACCACTGGCGTCTAACCGCGTTTTATTCCTCCCTCACATGTGCTGATCGTCGGTCGGAGCTCGTGCGCATGCAGGGCTTGCACATGCACTGCGGCTGGCTTCACATGTGAAGGGGCTGTCAGTGTTTTGCATGGTTCACAACGCCTGCACTGCACAGAGTGGTGTGTGTAGCACTCGAGTGCTGGCCGTTTCTGTGGCAATTTGCAACAAATGTTACAATGCTACAAATGTAGATAGCCAAAACAAAAAAGTTAGTGTCACCACAACTTGAAGCAGTGCTCAAAAGTCGCTTTAGGCAATACTATTATCTTCGGTGAATTTTCTTGCACCAGGAAGTACTTTAATTCACATCAGATGAAAATTCATATCAATCGTGATCATAAATCTGCATACATACATAGTAATGTGAGATGTGTCTTATTTCATGAGAGGTATAAAATATCTTACCCTCTTGCTCTCTTCAGCCAATGCGACTGCAGTTTCAGGGACTGGCATTGCATTGCCACGAGGAGCCGCCTTCCGCACAAGCTCTAGCGGCGGCCTGTAGATGGGCGTGCGAACAAACGTGAAGTGGTCGACTGTGAGAGGTACTTCAGGATTGGCTGCCACTGCAGGTACGAGAAAAACGTGAGCCAAATTCACAACACATACATTATTCACTCATGCAAGCCTGCTTCATCATAAAGAATAATAGCCTATACAAATAGCCTACTAAATGCAGATTACTGATGCACTAACCGTAGCATAAAGGAGCAACACACAAGGTACTTGAGCACCAAGAAAGCACACATTTATTTACCTTACCAGATTGTGACATGCCCCATGTGTAAAGGTTTGCGAGTCTAGCAACAAGGGAAGAGACTAGGGTTGCAAGTTTTGTCTACTCTACACCAGATTGACTACTTTAAGAGGCCGTGGTGACAAAAAAAATGATGTAGGCTGCTTGGCTACTTTTTCGTTATTATTCTGGCACTGAAATCAACAGCTAATATACACTAAACCCATCACTCAGTAATGCTCAGTGTATTTGCATTTTTTTACTCAGTATACCGGAAGCAATTACATAGGCCCAAAACGCTCCCCGGCCACCATGGTTTTTACATTATTAATGAAACTCATATATGTTAGCCAGTAATGTAACATACTTAGCTGGTGGGAAACTCGTTCAGGCTTTCTAGCCACTATCCACCTCATGTGTTAATGCTCTGAGCTGTATAAGTGCTGCTACCCTAGGCAAACGATGGCCAAAAGTGAATGCGCACCGCTTTTAGAAGCCTTGGGCAAAGCACAAGTCTCCAGCTGTTTTTGTAGTAATTTTTCATTCTGCTTTAATATTTTCACTGTTGACGCTGCTGCACTTATTATCCATGACATTTGTTATGTCGACTGTTCTATTTTATTTGTTTAGAAATGACAGGCTCAATTTTCATCAGTGTGTACACACATGACGCACTGCATGCGTTTCTTACGAGGATGTGTCTAGGCTGTTGTTTGCGTGATATGTCAACATGGACACAATAAAAATATTTGCATGCAAACAGCCCAGCTTGTCTTGTTTTTCTAAACTGCACATAGCCTCATCTGTTGAGGGGTGAATACGACGAAGGCTGTGAAAACCTTGCCAAGAAATGTATTTGGTTGGCCCGAGCCCATATTGAAAAGCAACTGCAGTTTTGTCAAGTTACTGCGAGTGCCACCATGACAGCAATGAAATTCTGGAGCGAAATATAGACCTATCAGGATGCATCACGTGCTAATCCTATACAATACATCACAGACAAGGCAATAAAATTTTTTGTATTCTCTAGACCTAGCACAGAAGCGGAGCGAGTGTTTTCTGTTGTGCCTCTTACAAAAAGAATCTAATGTCACACAAACTTCTTGCGATCATCAGGATCAAATGTGGACTAGTATGTCTGAAAAATGTTACAAGCTCTACATTACGTGATTAAAAAAAGCTGTGCTACATATACTACGAAATACATAGTACTTTGCTCCCTCTACATTAACAGTGCCGCGGGGCATGCTATCAAAAGTGAACTCGATTACGTACACTTGACTGTCGGTGCGGTATTACTACAAATTTTTTTAGTCTTAAAACTTTCTCGAGAAAGTCACGTGATCTTTTTTTTTTTACTCTACTTAATTGTAATAAACATTCCTGTGATGTACATTTTTGTATTTTTAATTGTCACAACGCAGTGATAACTTAGCTAAGCTGTAATCACGTTTGGCTACTCTTCTAGCTCCGAAATAAAATAACGGCGGCTGGTTGGCTACTGTTCTGGCTACTTTGGTTAATTTTGTGGCTCTTTTCCTCTTTCGAGAATCTGGCAACCCTGGAAGGGCCATAGACAAGAATAAGATGTTTATATACAACATTGTCGAACAGTAGATTCTAACATGACAGAGGAAGAAATATTTAGCAAGAGAAGCTCTTTGAATGGGCGCCCGCAGGTGAGGTGACCAATAAAGTTACAAAAAAAAAGCGTCCACCAATTGAGGCATTTTGATTGGTGGCACCTTAAGGTGCAAAGCTGCTAACATGGTGTGGAGTCACAGGATGTATTATAATAAGCCGACAGCAGTTGCCAAGGACTCTGGCTTGAGCAAAGAGGGGACGCCGAAGATTCTGATAGAGCGGAACGACAGCATGAAGTTGAAAAGGAGAGGGACAGAGAGCAAGCACGCGAAAAATAAGTAGCGACAACTTGAACAGCAAAAGTGAGAAAAAAAGTCAAAGCTTTGCCACAAAAGCGAAGGAATGAACACAATAGCAACAAATGGGAAGGTTACAAGCAGAGTGGCAATCAGATCGAAACCTTCCCAGTGTTTTTCACACACAAATAACACACAAAACATACTCACAGGTACAGATGAACACGAGTAAGCATCTCAGCTTGCTGCTTCGCTGTGTCTGAAAAGCATGCTATTTTCGCAAACAGAGAGAGTGCAACAATTGCAGTGACCTTTGTGCACCAGATAATTAAAACGAAATCATTTGGTGAAAGCCACAGGCCAGTCAAGACGTACGATCCTCCTTACTGCAAGATAAGAGCGCCCGAGCGAGCATCCACTTTCTTCTCTCTGTGGGGCAAAGTTTGGGTGAGAGATGCGGCGTGGGCTCATTGTACCATCTTGCTAGTAATGCTGAAAATATGATAGTTCCCCCCGTGATGACCATTAACAGCGGTAAGTGGTAGATATAAATAGCTTGCCATTTGAACGTTGAAGCACATGCTTCTCCGTGGCTCAGTGATTAATGCGTCGCATTCACGACTCAAGGTTCTACAATTGATTCCGCATGCCGGAGTCTTTTTCCGGGATTTTTCTTTCTTGCGTTTTCATATATCTAGATACTTACACATATACGTCGACGCCGGTGGCAAAATCCAGCCAAGTGTGCCCATATAATTGAAAAGAAATTCTGGACGCAAGGCTGCTGTTAGTCCAGGCGAATATGTTGACGTGAGATGATGCGAGTGCCATTACCGCTACCACAACGTCGTCACCCGGCTCGTTTTCTCAAGCCAGTCTGCCCTCGGAAACTGAAGGCACCCTTCACTGAGCAAAGAGACGATCTCGATGCATACTGGCATCGATATTGAAAGAATTACCATTGGGCAAGACTGGGAGAGGAGCCAGTGGTCAAACCCTCTCGAGTCTTTGCTTGGTGCGAAAGGCCTTGAATGTGTTTGGCCACATGATGGCACAGAGGTTGTTGGATTACAATACGGTAAAAAAACAGTATTACTTTTGTTAACTACCCAAAGGTCTCACGAGAAGCTTTGCTCATGTAAACCTGAAGATTCTCGAACAGGGAAATAGTTTGTACGCCAGCTTTGTTTGCCAGTTTGTACGCCAGATTTGGATCTCTGAACAGAGTAGTCAGATACAGGAAAGATGTACAAGAAGGACCGTGAAAAAATCGTGGCTATGCAATTCCCAAACCTGTTATGACACCTTTACAACGCATCAGGAATGCAGAGTTACTCCCAGATGGGCAGGAACGGAACAACAACGCTTTTTTATTGTGGGCTCACTTTACACAGTTGCTAGACCAGACAAACGAGTTCTGCCAATACCCGTTCAGACACTTCAATTTTGAACGTCACCACATCGCACTGCACACAAACGCACAGTTCTTAGAAATCTTAACCATTTGTAGGTCACTGCACGTTGAGGCAGGCCTTGCAGCAAAGATGCGTGTTGCTGATATCCCACGACATGTCTTGCTCCTTCGGTTCCTCCAAGTGTCTTTTGCAAATCTGGTCAAAGTGCCAAATCATCGTGACCATAGCTGTCAAGATACTGGCCATTCAGGTTGCCTTGAACTTTGCCAATGCTTCCACTAATTCACCTTGGTCTCTTGCCGAAATTTCAAGCAAGGTCTGCCTCTCCAGATGCCCATTTTCTTTTTGTGTTCTTGTTCATTGTTGGCCCAAGATAGTCTGCCTTGTGCAGTAGCAGGTCTAGGTGTCCTTTGGGTCTGAAGGTCAGAAGCAATTCCGCTGAGGCTTTATCTCTATTACCCCATGACGTGAAACTTTGAGCGTGAAGCCAATGGTTCAGTCATGAACTAACAACGTTCCACCTGTTTGCCTTTTACAGCAAAAGCTGTTATAGGGGACCACTATTGCACGAAATAAAAAAACTCAAATAAAAATTACCAAAAACATGTGGTGACATAGTGAAATTACAACCAGGGTCCACTGTGTGCCAGCCGAGTATTCTACCGCTAATACCTGCCGGTGCTTAGGATTCATTCACAAACTTCCATCACGCAGGCTTGATGTTGGGAAAGGAATTGCGTTAATATGAGTAATAAATTATTTTAGAACAGCGAAGGACCAATCAGGTGTCACACAATGCGGATTGCGTAACGAGTGAGTTGTCCAATACTCGAACACTATTCTTGTGCACCTATTGCTCATGGTGCATACCCACTGTGAGGGATCGGCCAAGAAGTGAGTGGTTCTATAAATTATTGTGCTGTTTTAGAATAATGGACACTATATAGTAGCAATACTAGAAAAGCTTGTTCTTCATCACCTGTGGTGCATACCCACTTCAGGCTTAATTCTTCATTATCGTCAGCCACTAAATCCAACACAAAACTTGTTATAATTGTTTAGCGGATACCACACTTCTCCGAAGAATGACGAAGGATAGCATAATGAATGCCGGCCTACTATGCAGAAATTATGAATATTTATGATATAGTGGGTACCTTGCATGTGTGCTTCTGGCATTTACCCAAAATAGTGTTTAGAAAAGCTTCTGAAAGGCCGCACTTCATGCTTTCGCTGTGAATGTGGTGCACTTTCCGCGCAGGCCTGGCATTTTTTTTAGCCCTCCTTCACCGCTTTCGGCCAGCCCATTTGACTGGGGGGTGGAATGGTGTGGTACGAAAATAATGCGTGCCACTTTGGCTCACGAAATCTCTGAACTCAGCACTGCAGAATTATGTAATAATTCTGCAGCACTGCAGAATTATCTGACATGAAGCCAGTGGGTAAGCCAAACCATGCAAAAATGACAAGATTTGAATGGTTGCTTCTGTGTGAGTATAGCTTCAATTCAACTCAAGTAGCTATCTACCACAACC